TAAGAGTTCATTTAGTTTTCCTCTTGAGTCATGGAATGCCTTGGGTAGCCATGCCTGTAATATAAATCCCACAACATTCTGACAACTCATATAAATCTTAGTTTTGCTATATTCACATAAGCCGATCAGTGGTTTAGATATGCAAATGGCAGCCAATTCATCAGCCATGCAAATAGGCAATAAGAATGAATGGGGACAGCAGCTTTCAAGCTTTAAAATAGGATACAGAAGCACAAATAAAATATAATAAAAGTGTACTTGCAGTGAGATAACTGCATGGGTCATTTGAGCCACTTTTATGATACTTGAATTGCTTTTGGTTGCTTTTTGAAGCTTGAAAGTTTCAGTGTCCATTGATTGTAATAGAAATGTTCATTAGATATTTGTGCACAGTGGCAGAAGCTGTCAGCAGCTTTTGGATGACATGAGAGTGAATAAATGAAAGCATTCTAACAGCCTGGTGAGCCACGGGCCACTCTGAATTCCATTTGTCATAGGGAATCCAGCAGGGGATGACACAACCTCAATCCACTTCCTGTCAAAGGGCAATTGTGATGGAATTCCAGCTGAGATGTTGGTGCCTTTCGTAACAGTGAGATAAGATGCAAGCTCCAGGTGGAGTGTATGATAATCTCTGCCACTGCTATCAACTGCAATGTTTAAACAACAGCTAACTACTTTGCAAGTAATAAGGTTTAACATTAAAAAAAAAAACTTAAAATTGACTTTGAAATCAGAAAACAATTACTGAATTATCACAAAAAAAAATAGTTGGGTTCTATGATTTCCACGATGCAAAAAACATGGCTGGAATTAGGGCTGTCAAAAAAAAGTTGAATTTCGAATATTCGTCGAATTTAAAATAAAAATTCACATTCAAATGCAAAAACATTATGCACTTTTTTCACAGATAGTCATGTTATCTTATGCTTTGAATAAACGTGCATTAGTATTATTTTGCTCGATGCGCCCTCTTGTGGCCTCAGGAAAGAAGCCAAAAGCTTTTCTTCACCCTAACTGAAATCATGTATTTTAAATTTGAATATAATTAGAATTTTGATAGTATTTAAGTACAAAATTCTAATTTTGTTTTTCAGCCATTTTGACAGCCTTAGCTGGAATCACAAAATCCAATCATAAATAATGGAATTTACAGTATAACGTGTCTCTTTGTGAATGAGCTGCTCAGCTACATTATTTTGCACGATGCGCCCTCTTGTGGCCTCAGGAAAGAAGCCAAAAGCTTTTCTTCACCCTAACTGAAATCATGCATTTTAAATTTGAATATAATTAGAATTTTGATAGTATTTAAGTACAAAATTTGAATTTTGTTTTTCAGCCATTTTGACAGCCTTAGCTGGAATCACAAAATCCAATCATAAATAATGGAATTTACAGTATAACGTGTCTCTTTGTGAATGAGCTGCTCAGCTACTGCACAACAACTGCACATACTCAAACACAATTGATGCTTCTGCTGTTTCACTATATGAGGACATGAACACATGAACTTCCATCTCCAGAGCTTCTCTGAGAGTCACTTTACAAGCTTTTCACCATTTTATTTGATTACAAAAAAACTATTGTTAGATACACAGAAACTCAAAGGTCTTCACTACAACTTGCCAAAATAGAAGTTTGGTTTAATCTAAAGAAATTATGACAGAAATATAGCCTACTCTTGCACAGAAAAATGTACTTCAAAGTAATAACAACAGTAATAGAGTTATTAAAAAACTTAAGGAATATAAAATGAGTTTTCATCCATGTTTTAATTTCAACTAAAAACCTCTGTTATGAAGCACGGTGTCAAAAAAAAAGAAAGGATCTGTTCAAATTTAATTTTATTAATAAATCATAAAACAGAATCCAGAAAAGTTTAATCACAAAAAAACACATTTATACTTATAAAAATACTAAAATTGGGGAAAAACAAAACTGATTTAATAGAGCCCTAAATACAGATAATAAATAAGATTTATAACATCATTATTCACCTTAGGAAAACATTAGGTTTTATGGACGAATACATGTGCTGGTTAAACTTTACAATCTGTGAACTGAGCTTAAACGCTCCGATTTATAAACCCAGTGGGCTAAGCTTCTACAAAAACTCAACTCAAACAACCAACATCAGCTTAAAGTTTATAACAAATAAAGTGCCATGAAATGTAGCATTCAAATCAGAGCTCAAACTATTGAAAATCAATAGTTTCGTAATAAACAAACAAAAGCCCTTGTCTTGTTGACACTTAACCTCTGAACACGGCTTGTAAAAGGTGACATTTGACTATGCAGCTAAATGCCATACAGGTAAACAATGAACAGAAGCGAATCAAACTGAAGGTTGAGACGTCAAAAGACTTCACAGTGATGGTTCCAACCTGTTAATTGCTGCAAAACTGTTTTTAATCATAATGTCACATGGGGCAAATCTTTCTTAAATGAGCAACAGTATAGTTTCAGCAAAGAAAATGCTGTATAATGACAGCTGCAAGTCATGAAGAAGGTTGTATTTAAACCTGCATACCTGCTGATGGTGAGATATCCATCGCACCGCTCAATACTCTGATGAATGCAGCCTAAAGGACACAAGAACGGTATCTGGTAAATGTGCAATGCAACCTGAACCTGTCAGGTCTTTAGAGGAAATATAACTTCCTTAAAACGCTCAACAGATTCTCTCTGCCTATATATGTCCAGTTGTTTCTCTCTATCTCTCTTAAACACACACACTCCCGAAGCTGCATCCTCTCCAGCCTTGCGGCAACTTCCTGCATCTCCTGACTAATTCTACCCAGCATCCTGACCCATTTCCCAAGAAGCACAAGGAAACCGGCACAGAGGAGCCGATGCAATGATGTCCATACGCATAAACAGGCTGATGCATTCTGACGGCCAGCCCAAACATTTCCATGTCAAGATTTCAGCGTGGCCTCAAGCTGGATCATGCACCAGCAATGACTAAACAAGAACAAAGACTGGTCTCTTGAAAAAAGAAATAAAAGGCTATAATTGAACCATAATGCACTTTTATCCATGTACAATGTGTTCTTTCATCCTTCTTATTCTATAAATATATATCTGATCAATTAAATCCATGAAATGGAATTGTAAATGCCAAGTCAAAACAAACAGTCGATATACTGCAAACAGACAGCAGTCAATACAATACACAATATATCTGGCATTTCTTAAGATTTCTAAACAAACTTCTTTTTTTTTAAAGCCTTACAACACATCACAGCATTTGAGGTTTCATTATTTTTATATTCTTTCCTGCTGCCTGGCAAGTTAGTGAGTCAAACTGAAACAAGCCAGACAATATTATAGTGTGGTCGACACATGGGTAACCACAGAAAACTGCACGCTACATAATATCCACTAAAACACTAACCGGGTGTAACAGCCCAAACACTTGTTCTCCTCCTTTGAGAGGACTGAAGGTTAATGCAAGAAGCAAAAAGACAAGTAAACTACCAAGACAGTAAACTAACATTTTTAGGGTGGATCTGAAGCAGTCAATCTCAATAACTCAAAACAAAGACTAGCAATTTAATCTAAAACGCCTTATAGTCCATTATGCTTATTACAGGGATAGGCCTGAGGTTAAGAGTCATGCTGAATGGAATAATAATAACCAAACAACTATTGTTCTTCCAGCTGAAATTAAAACATTTAAGCATTTTTTTTGCATCATAAAAAAAATGTGAAGTTCTTCTAAGGAAAAGGGAAGGCTTTAAACAGAAACCTCACTGCACTGAAGGTGTGCACTCAGCAAGTTTCTGTTCACATTTATCTGGTTTTAATTCATTTTTGGAATAAATACAAACCAGATAAATGTGAACAGAAACTTGATACATTTTCAGATGTCCCTGCATTTATTTTCAATCTCAGCTCTATTTTTAATGAAATGTAATATTAGTATTAAGCCAACTGTATGACAAGAACAATCATATGTTGTAAACATGGCAGCACCCATAAAGGGGCGACCCACTCCATGTAGAAAAAAAAACTGCTTTTATATCAAGACTTTATAAGAAGTATATGAAAACTTCAACAACATTTCTCAAAAGTGGTGATCATGTCTTAATGTTTAAAGCTTTAGACATCACACTGTATTGAGTTTCACAGATGATTTGTAATGCATCCACCCTCCTGTATCTGACAAGATAATCCACACCTACAGGAAACCTTCAGCCAACTTGTTTAAACGCGTCTTGGCCACTGATATAAATGATCGCTCTACATTTTTCTCTGCAAATGTATTGACTGATTAAACGATTTTGATGATTCTGCATATCTTCTGGAGATCATTTGTTCCCAGGCTCGACACTTCTATCTGATACTGATTTAAACTTTCATTTTTGCTCTGAGCAGTGAACACCGTCCAGACTGACAGTTCCAACACCTTACCTTACTTAGCAAAGCAAGCTAAAAGTTGCCCAAAAAATTACGATGAATCACATTGGCTTTGGATGCATATTAAAGTGGTTAAACATTAGCTTTATTTGTTTAACGATCACTCACTCGCATAATGTGATCAGCAGACAAACATCCCAAGAATCGAACATTTCACATTAGCAATTCCAAACGAAAGGCTCTAACATTCAATACTAAGAATTTAAAACAGGGGGGGGGGAAACGAACATTCCATATTATTAATATCACTATAATTTGTAATATTCTAAAATTCAAACAGACCCAGATGCAGCAACTTTCGCTTCCCACACTTTTTTTTTAAGTCAAAAGCGTAACTTAATCTATCCATACAAATCGCAGCATTACATATTCCAACCTAAAAGCATGTCAGTTCAGATATGAGACATTAAAATGTAAGTCAATGCCCGTTTTGAGCACTGCAGATCAGCCCATCTGGCCTGATCCACGCTGCCACGATCCCTTCACATGGACAGATTCTTAAACTTACCCACAGCAATACAATCTTCGCCTCATGTTACAAACATTACATGACAGATCGCGTATGCGCCTGTTCTTACCTTCTCAGCTGTCGTAGGAAAAATATATCCAAGGCCGACTTTAATTTTGTACTATACACAGCTTTAGTTTCCCAGCAGCGGTCCCTGATCGCGTGAATGTTCCCTATGCCTCTGCCTCTGCCTCACTCAACTTGTCCGAGGCTCGCCGGAAGCCACGCCTTGTTTTGTTTTCCCCGCCCCACGAAGAACGTGATTAGACAAAAGAGAAATGAGTGGCATTGAAGCTCGCCAATCACAAAACACATTCGTCTTAGCCCCGCCCATTCGGAGCGTGGACAGGTACGAAGTTCAGTGTGGACGACGTGACTGCACTTACTTGCAGAACCAGTTTGCGGACGTCATACACGCAGTGAAGTCAGTAAACGTCAAGTAACTTCGATTAGTACGTTGATAGTTTCATAGTGAGAATACAACAAAGTACAAACACAATTAACCTTTGGAGAGAAGAACCAGACAGACTATTTTGAGCTGTGATGTGTGACGGAAATTGCCACAAGATGGCACCATTATGCTGGGATACACATTATCATTATTTGCTGCATACAATTATCTATTTAAATAAATAAATAATAGATTTGGTTAATAATAAATAATATTATATATAGAAAGCAATATTTTAAAGTTTAAATATTTTTACATTTGTAAAAGTGGTTTTAAGTCAAATTTATGTTAACAAGCTTAAGTTTTATTGTTCCTCCAACATTAATGTACCAGAATATGACTAAACGTCAATAATGATTACTTTAATGGCTTTGCAATGCAAATGTGATTTTTAAAAAAGTATGTAAAAGTGCAATCATATGGTGCTGTAAGCATGCCATATTGGTCTGGTTTAATAGCAACACAATGCAACATATGGGGTTTCTGCTCCATCTTTCTATCCACCAAGGGGTCCGTGCATTAATAGCATCCTTCTCAGAAATGTTCCTACCTTTTCTTACTGAAGGTTTTCTCTCTAGTGCTTTGTCAGGTGATTTCTTTGGTGGATCAAATGCTGCTTTCATCTGTGACACTTTCACAGACTGTGTTGGATCTAAGGTCAGATCAACTCGGGCCTCAGTTGGCTTGGTCCACTCCTTCATCTTCTTCTGCAACTCAATAGTTTCCTTTATCATATCAGAAACATGTCTTTTCTGTCCGCCCTGTGGGGTTTCCAGACTGCACTTACTTGCAGAACCAGTTTGCGGACGTCATACACGCAGTGAAGTCAGTAAACGTCAAGTAACTTCGATTAGTACGTTGATAGTTTCATAGTGAGAATACAACAAAGTACAAACACAATTAACCTTTGGAGAGTGTTTTTCTATTTTGAGCTGTGATGTGTGACGGAAATTGCCACAAGATGGCACCATTATGCTGGGATACACATTATCATTATTTGCTGCATACAATTATCTATTTAAATAAATAAATAATAGATTTGGTTAATAATAAATAATATTATATATAGAAAGCAATATTTTAAAGTTTAAATATTTTTACATTTGTAAAAGTGGTTTTAAGTCAAATTTATGTTAACAAGCTTAAGTTTTATTGTTCCTCCAACATTAATGTACCAGAATATGACTAAACGTCAATAATGATTACTTTAATGGCTTTGCAATGCAAATGTGATTTTTTAAAAAGTATGTAAAAGTGCAATCATATGGTGCTGTAAGCATGCCATATTGGTCTGGTTTAATAGCAACACAATGCAACATATGGGGTTTCTGCTCCATCTTTCTATCCACCAAGGGTTCCGTGCATTAATAGCATCCTTCTCAGAAATGTTCCTACCTTTTCTTACTGAAGGTTTTCTCTCTAGTGCTTTGTCAGGTGATTTCTTTGGTGGATCAAATGCTGCTTTCATCTGTGACACTTTCACAGACTGTGTTGGATCTAAGGTCAGATCAACTCGGGCCTCAGTTGGCTTGGTCCACTCCTTCATCTTCTTCTGCAACTCAATAGTTTCCTTTATCATATCAGAAACATGTCTTTTCTGTACACCCTGTGGGGTTTCCATGATGGTGGTTGGGTTGCTTTCTATTGCGTGCTTTTGGTCAAACTGGCTTGAACGTTTCTCCTCTAACACATGACAATTTGCTTGTGTCGACAGCTTGTTCTGCTCTTTATCTTGTTTCTCGTTAGCTTGCATACTTATTAGGTTGCACATGGAGGAGGAATGTTGCACATCTTGTGCAGCAGATGTGTTTGCTGTGTTGTGTGCTAATGCAGCTCCAGCAGCACAACCATCCCGGACCTGATCGGATACGTCTGTCTGGCTTATAGTGGAATGGGTTGACGCATTTGTAAAAATCTTCAAAAAACATTTTTCTTGAAGTTGAGAAGAACCAGACAGAGTGACTTCTGTTTTCTTGTCCACACTTGGCCTATCATCTATGCGACCTGAAGCTGCAGTATCAAGACCAGCAATGAGCTCAGAGATGCAACCAGCTGCAGATGTTTCCTTGCGCAAGCTGATGGTATTCTGATTAGACTTGCCGACCTGGTCTCTCTCTGAGTTAGCATTAGCGTTTCCATCTAACCTCTGTTGTTTTGTTGCATCAATCACTGCACTTATAGAAGAGGCACGTTCTGGATCCATCTCATTTGTAGTATCCTTCACCGTCTCTGGAAGGGTTTGCATCACTGCCTGTGGATTCATTTCAGCCAGACTTTTCTCTGTGTGTACTTTGGCCTTTGCTAAAAGAGGGAGATCCTCTTTTTCATTTTTTTGCATAACTTGAACATCAGATTTACAACGGGGGTTCGAATCTGTAATGTCTTCAGAGAATGTAATACATTTCTCATCTTCATAGCTTTGTAGCCAGGGTTTGTGTTCACCCAGCATAACTACACTGGCAATATTAGATGTCACAAAACAACCCTCTTCCGTTTCTGTTTCATGCAGAGAAAGATCTTTTATCTCCGTTTTCTTTTCATGGGAATGATACGGACCCTTTGAAGCAGATTCCAGATTTTCTCTTTCTTCAGTCCCTCTTATGCCATCTTTATTTTTATGACCTCCCGCGGGTGATCTCCCAAGTGAAGGTTCCTTTGTCCAAGGGCTCTCCAAGTCTGACACATTAAATTGCCTTTCTTTCTGAAGCTCATCCTGTGTGAATTCGCCCGCAGATATTTGTCGATGGCTCTCAGAGTGACCCCAAGGTGACTTGGATGCCACTTCTAAGGTGCTGAGGTCCTCTGGGCTCTGCGTTCTTTCCAGACTCACAGCTTTGCTTTGTAAATCCGCACCTGCCAGAGATGAACTTGTAAATCTGGTCTTTATGACTTCATCTGTTGGCTGACACCCCGTAACATTTTCTCTGGCTCTGCAGACATATTTCATTGACTGCCCCTGGGTTTCAATGTTCATCACAGAGGAACGTTCAGCATGTGGGATTTCTGGTTCTCTGGCTGAGTAGACATCCTTCAAAGACCACCCTTGGGTTTCGACATTCTTCGGGGAGGAATGTTCAGCATTTGGGGTTTCTGTTACAATCTTATGTGGATTCTCTGGCAGCTTCTTCTGGTTTTCTTCTTTGCTGTGCTGAATTGCCTCAGTAGTGTCCTTTGATGTTTCCGCTTGTGAGTTCATCACAAGGCTTGATGTTGTGCGCTTGTTAATCAGCCTCTTGTTTTGCGATTCAGTCATGCTGGTCTTCAACATGACATTTTCGGTAATGACTAAAGCTTGGTTTTGAACCGTGACGTGAACGTTGGTGTTGGCATCCCCACCACATGGTTTTGAAATGTCCTTCCTTTCCAGAATCTCCAAGGTAGGCCCTGTATTCTTCTTTAGACTAATATCACAGGCAGCTTCAAAATCGAGTTTTCTGACCTCTTCCTGACTCTTTAGCTTGTCGTCATCTCCACAGACAGACTCCATTTCGTTCTTTACATATGAAGCATGCTTTTTACTCCTGTTTTCTCCTTTGCGACGGCTTTCAACTTTGTCTTTACCAGGAAGGTCACACCTAAGGTTGTCCTGATGGTCTTCTAGTGTACTCTCCAAGTCTTTTCTGTCGTGGTTTGGTTCACCAGCCTCCCATGTGCCTTGCGTGCAGCTGTCAGACTGTGCGATTCCATTCAGCTGCTGTGGAGCCAGCGGTTCAGCCCTGTCTTCCTCGCTACTCTTTCTTCCTCCCTCTTTCTCGCCATCCCCTCCCTCCACAATGCCCCCATCCGTGGGAGCACACACCTTATCATGAGAATCCAAACCATGCACTGGTGTAGGTGATGGTGACTCCCTGCCTGGGCCTCCATCCAGTCTTCCACCAGCTGTGTTTTCCTCATCTGTCCAGACACCATGAGTTTCAATGGTTAGATTTCCTTCCTCTTTGGCCCCCCCAGGGTCTGGGCTTGGTCCCTTTTCCTCTGGTCCTGCAGAGCTGTTGTCCTGCCCTAACTCCCCCTCCTTGCCTTGGTTTTGTCCCATTCTGTAGAAAAAAAGTGAGAGAGATGTTATTGACAGTGTATTGTTGTGGAGCACAAGATGTTGATTATGGCATGACTCTGGCATGCAGGTTGTGTCAGTGTTTATCTAAAATTATTGCACACTTTCACTCCCCTGTACACAGTTTGATGCTCACTAACTGTCTTTTTCACTTTGCTGTCTCTACTTGTCATTTCGGATGAGCTAATTCTTATAATCATAGTCTAACTTGACTTGTTCTGTTTGCTTAGCTGATCATTTGCTCTTGTCATCTTTCTTTATGGCAAGTCTCTTTGTTGCTGGTATTAACTAAAAGCTCAAAGTAGGGGTTGACAGGGTTATTATAGTTAAATAAAACTAACAATAAAACTCAAGACATTTTTATTACTTGAAATAAAATAAACGTTGAAAGAAAATGTGATTTTATTTTAGCTAGGCAACATTTGTCATTTTCATATAATTTAAGTTGATGTACTAAAATATAAAATTAAAAATGAAATAAAAATGTATATACTAATAAAAAAAATGAATAAAATGACAAAAACACACAACAAAATAAAGAAAACTTAATTAAAAGTTTTAATTAATTTAAAACCTTAACTAATTTAAAACTTTAATTAAGATTAAAATGAAAATGGAAAACACAAAATTAAAAACAATTTCAAATTGTTATAGTAGAAAAGGGATACTAAAATAACACTGGTGGATAAAGTACA